ACTTTCAAAATTATTCTTTGCATAGGGTATTACTACATCACAAGCATCTGCCAGTAGTAAAAGAAGTGGCAAGCAGAAATCTCACTCCACTCCAGCAGTGCAACAATCTCAATCTTCTGAACCATCTCAAGCAATAGTGCAAAGTGACAGTGGTAATAGAAAAGGTGCAAATAATGCATTTAAGAGGCCAAGAGTAGTGGGTCATGGAGTATTTGTGAGCAAAGATGGTTTTATTTGTGCCGAGGTAAAAACGAGAGTTAATAAGCTTATATTCTTGATTAAACTTCTTAAAAATAATTTAACGACTCTTTATTACTTTACAGCAAGGAAGATCTATTAGTAGGGTAATCAAGAGTGGAGCACAAGAGAAACTGATAAGTTCAGCTATTGTCACCGGTGACCTTGGGTATGCACCAAGTAAAGGTCTTAAATGGAAGGGGAAAAGTGCTATCACAGGAAGACAACTTCAACATAAAAGTGCTTTGCTTAGACAGAAGAACATCAAGTCACAAACTTCATCACAAGGTGCAACAAGAACTGAAGGTGTTTAGGGATGATGTGGCTGATTTTTCATGTGGCTCGAACTATTTTTAAGTCACGTATTTTGGTTGTGAATAGGACGATGTCGACTTTTAGTTATGAATTTTAATGTTACTAAACACGGTGACTAATTTGCAGCCCAAGTAGTTATTGTAATCTACTAAACATGGTGACTGATTTTTCATGTGGTTCGAACTGTTCTTAAGTCGTGTATTTTGGTTGTGAATATGATGGTATCGAATTTGGGTTGTGAATAGGATGGTATCAAATTTTGGTTGTGTATTTTGATGTTACTAAACACAGTTACTGATTTGCAGCCCAAGTAGTTTAATATAGTTGTAGGTTGCTCTGCAAATTGAAGCATGCATTACTTGGTTTTAGTGTTTCTATACTATACAAACTAGAGCCAACCAATTTTCTACTTCGAGCTACTAAAAATTCTTTGGTGACTTCTGTCCTTAGCTGCTCATAGTTGTTTAAATAGTCGTAATCAGAAAATGATTGATGAAGTAGTCCGTAAAAAGCGACAATTCAATAAAAAGAAAATATGCTCTATTTGGTGGCATAATGATACCACAAATATAGTCTAACTAGTTATTAAACAAACAAAAAAATAGAATCTGATGTCATGGACAAACACTCACCCCTCAAATTATTAAAGCTACCAAAGGGCGTCGTGGATTCCTCGTATGGCATCATTGATATACAAATATCAGTCCCTTTTGAGCGAGCTTAAGCAACTAGTGTAACATATAATTTAAGGTGTGTTTCTCAAATTTATGAATGATAGTTTAGGTGTGTTTCTCTCCTAATAGTTTAGGTGAGGAAGTCAAACAATTTTATAGTTTAGATGTGTTTTGATATTTTATTTTTAAAAAAAAGAAGAAGCCATGTGGACGAAAATCAAGGCCACACGCGCGTAAAAGAGTGTGTACACACACATTTGGTCCAGTCAGCACAGAGGTGTGTTTTTCAAACTAAAGTGTAATAGTTTAGGTGTGTTTCTCACACTTTCGATAGTTCGGCTATGAAACTCAAAAAAAGGGTATAGTTTAGGTGTGTTTTAACCACTTATCTCATCAATAAAAGTGTTTTTAAATGGAAGCGGAAGCAGTTTTTCTACTGTTGGAAAGAAGCTAAAAATTTCTGCTTTTTTTAGAAAAAATAATATTTTTCTCAAGACTAAAATATCATTTTCATATATATATATATTTACCAATATATTTCTTATTAATTAAGTAGCATATTTCCTAAATTTGGTCAAATTTCATTTAAGAATTTTATTTTTATCTTTATATAATAAATCTTATAATTTATTTTACGTTTATATATTATTATTTAATATATTATATATTATTTTGTAGAATTAGAAAAAAGGTAACAACAATATTTTTACAAGATTAGAAAAAAGAAAAAATAACAATTAAAGATTTCAGCCTACCCAAAAAGGTATAATATTGATTGAAAATTTAAACATGTAAATTTTAATTTAAAAAAATAAAAAATTAATTGTATTTTTATAATAGATATTTAAAATAGTTTCTCTCTATAAAATAATTTTAATATTTGGAAGTACATTAATAGTTGTCTTTTTGGTAATTTGACTCTTAAAAGCATTTTTTTTTAAAAACAAGTCAATCGAAATTTGCTTATGAAAAGCATTTTTTAAATGAATTAGCCAAACACAAATTAATTTTTTTCTTAAGCACTTTTCTAAAAGACATTTTAAAAGAGTGCTTCTAAAAATAAGTTGTTTTCAGCAATGTCAAACAGGCTCTAAATGTAAGGTTGTTTTTACAAAATATAAATTTGTGGGTCAATTTTTGTATTTAAAAAATTCCAAAATCATGATTTAAAATTCTCAAATCATGGTTTTTGGAAAATTCATTTGATATGAAATCAATGTGAAATTGCATATCCAAACGCTGATTTCATTTCATGATTTCAGATCAATTATACATCGCGATATGAAACAACATCTCTAAAAATAAATAATATGATTATATAAACAAGTATATTAGTTAATTTTTAGATTAATATATTTATAAAATTAATGAGTTTCACAGCGATTTTAAATGTGAAACTGTAATTTCCTGTTGAATTTAGTAGTATTTTCCATCATGAGAAATAGCAAGTGAGTCTAAACTTGCCATGGTTATGTAATTATTTTACTGGTGTGATCAATACAAATGTCAGTTACCAAAACCAAAAACCAATACTGAATTAATCAGCTTAAAAGCCACCAAATACCATATTTTGACATGCAAACCACAGTTTGCAGGTCAATTAGGATACAACATTTCCTCTTGATACAATATTTGGCAAAAGTAGCACCATCAAAATGGGAAAATTTGGTGCATGAGGCTTTATCTCTATTAACAGATTTGGCTATAGGTCAACACCAGAATGCTGCATGAGAAACTGCAGCTTTGGCAAAAGTAGTTCTCGACAAATCCGAGAAAACAGTGATTTACATGGATATCTACTTGTTAGCATTTCTTTGCCATCTTTCAAAGATAGGATTATCCACAAGGCTTTTTGCAGAAGGACGGCGTGTTGGATCTGGGTCCATCATTGCCTGAGAACATTTGCAATTTGAACATACAGAATCAGCAATTGCTTCTACAGATTACTATGGATTAGCTTTATCATACATGGCCACAGACAAACGAAATGTATCATCTAACGACAGCTTAATTATATTGAGATATACTCGGATTAAAATATATGGTATATTGTGCAGATTACAGTTGATACCTTCAGGTACCATGCTGGTTGTACAATATGAAAGATGATCAAGTCATATGAATACGAAGCATATAGGAAAATACCATCTACGGACTTTTTAACATGGTAAAAGGGAAGAAGTTAGCACCTTGAGTAGATTCTGAAATTGCAAGGAGTGACCCGGAAGAAGAGGCAATTTCCCCTCCCTAATGTTTAGAAAATGAGGGCCTGATTCTGGCAGTGAAGACCCTCTAATAAGTTCATATATTGCAGCGCCCAAGGAGAATATGTCAACTTTGTCAAGATGATCATAGTTCTCATTAAGTATTTCTTGGGGCATATAACGTGCATCGCCCTCTTCAATAGGCTGGCTCTTATCAAGAAGAGTTGCACATCCAAAATCACCAAGCTTATATACACCATTTTTCACATAAATATTATCTGGCTTTACATCTAAATGACCTACCCCTCTCTGATGTATAAACTGCAATGCCTTGGCTACCTGCATATCAGAAAGCATCTCAAGTATCAATATTTTGACCTCAATTTGAAAAACCATTTTTCCTCAGCCTTCCCACCCCACAAATAAAATACCCAGATACACGAACAAAAACAAGCGAAGGGAAGTCAAAAGCAAAATGTGGTTAGTAGACAAAGGGTGAACTCTAAGCATTTCGACGAAGATCGGAACTAAAAGCTCAAAATATTTTACTATACAGGTCTTCGGCCTCTCAAAATTGAAAGCCTGTTCCAGTCGTATCTCCAGCTAGAGGATAGTAATAAATCCCAGGATACATGATATAAAACAGCTTCCCTACCACCTAAAAGGGGTTATTTGGATCACATATCCAGTCAATGGTATCAGCTTCTATAACAGATATAAGGCTGATCCTCTTTTCTTCTTTTAACAGCCTATAGTCTGATCCTCTTTTCTCATGTGAAATCAACAAGCACTAACACAATGCAGGATATTTGGGCAACATTATGCATTTGAATGAGGATCAAGTTACAAAAGTAACACCCTTCCAGTGTAAATAGCAAAATGGAACTAGATTTGAATATTGTATTTCCATGAAACACTTTAAAGCATTATGAAATGTTGCATGTTGTATGCTGCATGTTGCAAGTATTAGGAGGGTGGATTAGGTACTGACTTTGCTACAGTTGCTTCCCCTAAATAACAGATGGAAATCACAGTAATTTTAGCAGTTGAAGTTTCATAATTGATGATATGATCATTGGTTATGTGTATAGTCAAAAATTATCTCTTTGGTCGATGAAGTATAATTGGTTTGCAAGATATATATCTTTCTTCTAACTTTTTTGAGACTTACAAGACAGTCATACTCAGTACATGACACAAAAGTAGCTCTTAAAGATTCCAACAAGAGCCGCACCTGATACATTGCTTCCAAAACTTCTACCTCCGAAAATAGTTTAGAATATTTTTTGTTGGATAAACTGTGGTCACAGAGCTCCATTTGGATGTAAAGGTGTTCATTTTCAAACCAAGATGAATAATAGCCAACTACGTTCTCATGAGGTCCTGTAAGTATAAAAAACAAAACATGTTGAAACAATAATCTCTGGGGTAGTTCAAATGATAATGTCAGCAACAAAAGTAGATCAGCATGCTACCTAAAGCAGCCAATGCTTGCACTTCCATCAAAGCCTTTCTCCTGGAAGAACACAATTTAAATGCATAAATATGACTGAACTATATTGAATATAAACAGCATGTTTGGCATCACATAAGATTCACCTTGTAAAGACATTTTCCAAAAATCTGTGCTCAAATCTATTGAAAATGTTTATCTTGGAGAAAATACATTATGCCAAATATAAGAAACAGTACACATAAATTATGGGCGTAGGACATTTTCTATTGCATTCTTAATTCGTATATCATGCAAACCCCATAGCAATACCACTCTAGCCTCATCCCAAACTTCCACCGCTATTAGACGCTACCAATTATATGGCCAACAGGATATCAGAAAATAACTAAGGAAATGTTTCTTTTAGTTATATGATATGTCAAGAAAAATACACACACTCTGTAATGTCATATCATAAGGCCAGAGTGTTGAAAGAAAGGAAATATCACCTATCTGTGTCTTGATGTAACTGTTTAGTGCTATGTTTCACTGCATACATACATCCATCAATTCTCTTAAAGACTTTGAAAACACGGCTGAAGTTCCCACTACCGATTTGCTGAAAGAATAAAAGGGTCTTAGATAGGTCCGGAAAAAAATTTAAGAAAGTATTAGTAAGAGTCAAGAATACAAGCATCAAACATACCTCAATTTCATGGAAATCAGTCCGATACCGTGACAGACCATCATTACCAGAAATTGCAGGGTTAAAAACTACAGATCAAAGAAAGAGTAACATTAGGAATTTAACAGAAAACAACACAATGATTCTGCCATGAAGAACAAGAGATCACACTCTAATTTTCTTTTGAAGAACTAAACTGTTCCAAAGAAAATAGAATCCACCAATTATTCAAACTCACTGACCA